GTCCTAACGGAGACCGGTGAGGTAAAACGGCGAGAAGCTCGCAACAAAGCAGCTACAATCACTCTCGACATAATTCTCCTTGGATACAATTTGGCACACCACTCGCTTTTAGTAACTGAAAAGGGGTTTAGGGTTTCTATTTATCACACACGAAAGTTTGTATCCATTTTTCCATTCAAATCTCTAACAAATTATATGTCAAGAGAATACAAAATTGATTGTTTTACAAAGGTAAAAAGGAAAGTAAAATTAGAAAAGACTTGTTGAGACAACAACCTAAGACAAACAGATATCAACACAAAACAAGTTAGAGGCGAAGAATTGTGCGAAGAGTATCGCACAGATTTTGAATAGTTTGCTGCTCCTGCGTTGCTTGCATTTCCTGGAGTGGCATCTCCTCGTAACACCTGCGGATTCAAAATGCACACAAAATGGACTTTTAGATTCTTTTAGTCAGACAGTAAAAGAACACCAAAAAGACCGGTTTGCTTGCTATATACGTACGCTCTGTGGTAAGCTAAAGCTTGTGAAAGGTTCATCAAAGGAGCGCTTGACGTCAGTCTCTGGTACACGCTCGGAGGAAGAGGCATCTGCATTCATTTCATAGTCCAACATGTTCATATTTTATAAACATAAGAACCACACCGTTATAAAGAGTTAAAAGAGAGATAAAAGTTGGACCTCATTTTGTCCACGTCGTCCCTTTTTGGATTGGGGATCAGAAGTGAAGAGCTCTTGAAGTGCTTCGACAGCTACAGTTCCATTCCCATCCAGTTGCATGCCTCCGATCATGTTCTCTGATAAGAGTGCGATTGGGGATATATCCGTTGCTCTCAAGAATGGTATTGGTACTGTGTTTCCAGCTGCGTAGATTGACCATAACTGCCATGTGCCAATTTGATTGTTATTTTAATTTCTACAAAGCCATTGGCTAGACTCTAGGGAAACAATACGGCACAAAACTAACTGACCTTATCTTGCAAAGCAAAAGCTTTCTTGCCAACAGTTTCACTCTTCAAGGTACTGCCACTTGCATCACTGCCACCTTCCGTCTGTGTTCCAGATATGTTATTCAGCTTCGTTTTTTGCTCAAGAGAAATCGAAACTGATGGTGAAGTTCCCTGCACGCTTTGTGAAGTTGAAGCTTCAATTTCAACGTCGGTAGCAGGAAGATTCTTTTTTTCATGGATCCTAACAACGCTCACGAACCAAGTGCATCATCAGACACTGATTATTATATTTATCCACATAACTTTCTTTTCAACAAACAGGATAATAACGCAGGAAATATAATCGCATATTTGTTATTAAAAGGACATGCTCCCGATAAAAACAAAACAAAAGGGTTTCACAGATTAGATACCAGGAGTCGGCTAATTCTTCTCCTGAGAGTCCAACAGAGCCGCCAACAACCTGAGAAGATGAAGATTCTTTCTCTTTGGCGTGTTGAGACCCCGACTGACTCTCGTCTGTCTCATCCTCACCATGAACGATCATAGTTCCAAAATCACCACCTGAGTACATGAACCAGTGCAAACATAAAGTTAGATGCTTTTCGAAAACCATGATGGAAGAAAATTAACAACAGCCTATTGAAGCTGTGAGCTAACAAAGGCTGCTGACGAAATCATCGCCAAAGAAAATGCACTCAACAATTCTCATGATGGCTCGGAAATGTAGATTTTCCAACTTGTAAATTACTACTAACAGGCTAATGTTCACAGAACATTTTTTTAGCAGCGTAATGACTAGTCAACAACAACACACCATTCAGTTGGATTCTTTACGTGAAAGTTTGCAATATGGACTAAGATAGTCATGCATAAAACACTTGCCTTCTCCAGCCAACAAAGTGTTACCTGATATATGCTGCCGATTCAGGGTGCTTGTCGGAGGTGCTTCTGTGGTATTTTGATATCCATTATTAGGAGGTTTAGATGGAACAGTAATTCCAATCTCGTCACTTGATTTTCTACCCAGCGTTGACTGTTACAAGATCATATTACAGTTTATACAACCATAACTTGCAAAACAGGAAAGAAGATGGGAGTAACTAAGAGAGAGATGTTTGAGAAAAACTCAATACATACAGTGTCCTCTGAAGAATGTGTGACGACATTTTGTGCTTGCAGAGCCATTGAAGCTCTGATTTGTCTAGACTTCTCAATCTTCGGTGACATTGCGGAAGCACCAGTTTTACATCTCTGAACAAACTTGTGCTGAATTTAAAACCAAAGAGTGAACGGCATCAGAGGAATACAGAGTTTTCAAACACTAAATTGCATGTTAGATATGAAAGTGATGATAATGAAGATATCCTGATATTGACACGAAAGAGTCACAGTTAGCTGAAAAGAAAGAAAAGGAGAGCATTGAGATAAAGATACTAACACTCACTGACGTACAGGCAAAAGGTTATCATAGTTTACCTTAAGCATCTCATCTGCAGTTGGGCGAAGACGTGGTTCCTTTGTGAGGCACTTTGCAACAAAATCATGAAAGACCAGGGACCTGCAGAGGGTAGCAACGAACAGTTGAGTGCGCCATAAGATATTGCAAAGACCTCTTTAAACAGGATCGCATTTACTATGCTTCATTACTATGCTTCAGAGCGCTTATATAGCTCAATGTTTTTATATAAATGTACACTGCCAGCCACAATTATAAGATTTAAATGTACACTGAATGTTACATATTGTGGATATGCAAATACTATAGTACCCGTGGACATAATTCTATGAAGTGACTACATGTAACTAATATAAAAGAGATTGAAGACATACCATTTTTCTTTATCTTCAAGCATTGGAGCTGGCTCAATCGATATCATGAACAAAACCTAGCAAAAACGGATGCCTGAAATGAGATATTAAATAACAACAATAGCACGATGTGATAAAAAGGTTCACAGAAGAACAACTTAATGAGTCCCTACCAAGAAAGTAAACAAACGAATATTTCCCTATTTTACCTAGCTTTTCACCACTAACCAACCAAGAGAAGACCTTTAAAGAGCATTTCAAGACCTCCATTTTCTAGCCTAACCACACTCATGTCTGTGAAAAAAGTTCATACAAGGTCTATACAGATTTCATTCCATTTAATTTATAGGACAAACTTCACAACACCAACCTGCTTGGTATTGGTTTCAAAACAGACCATAAAACTAAAGTCAATGAACGGTCTGAGACAACCACATTTAGAGAAACCCTTGAAACAAAGCCTAACTCGAACCAATGTCCAGATTCACTTCATTCCAATTTTCCAAACAGAGAATAAAAATCAAAACCAAAAGAAAAGAAAATGCAGGACTGTATATCAGTTTACCCATCTTAAAAATCAGCAAGGTATCTGATCAGTTGGAAACATAATAATAAAAGCAAGATGGCTAAATATAACAAACCCTCATCGGATGAACTGCTGATCTTGGAGGAAGTCCCTGAAAACAGCAGAACTAAAGGTCAGAAGGCGACCACAGGATGATTAAGATGAAACATCGAAGAAGTGACTGAAGTGACGAGGGGTCAAGAGTGTTAATTAAAATGTTAAAAGAATTTCTCATTTTTTTCCATAACATGTCAGTTGAGCGACTCAGTACCAGCATAATTGTAGTCCTAAGAGAGGTAAATTACCTCTGCCATCTCAATTGCTGAAACACCAAGAGCCCATACATCGACCTGTAGTAAAGAGTCCAAATGTCATCAAGGAGCAAATTAGAAATCCTTGACTCTACTCTCTAGAATACTTGTGCAGCTGTAGTTTCTAACTGGCCATACATCATACGCTAATTTCCTCTAAAAATAGGATTCGGTAAAACTGGTTTGCACAACCAGTTTTAGGAAACGTTAATTAGTAGATACTTTCTTCAAGAGATATAATATTAGATCTAGTAGACGTGAAGCACAAACTTCAGAAATTAACTTTCAAATATGAAAGGTGCCATTACATCAGACCATATACTCTGAAGTTCTGTATATTGGTCGAAAAACTTTAAGGAGATTACCAGACCAAATTATTGTCAAATAGGACACCTACCTTCCCATCATAACGGTTTTCCTGAATAACCTCCGGGGCCATCCAATGCGGAGTCCCAATGAACTTCAAAACATTAAAGAATCCCACCATCAGGCACAAAACGTCTCTTAGGGTTATTTCCCAATTGATCAAAGACAGCTTGATGAATTAACCATAGGAAGCTTTATTCATTAGGTCTTTACCGTGTTTCGTTTCGACATAGTCCGCGTAAGTTGGGCCGCAACTCCAAAGTCACCTGAAAAGATCAAGGTAGCGAGCTTTGGAATCAGCATGCAGCTGTAAAGTAATTAAAAAAAAATCTATCAACAATCAATAAGGCAAAGCAAGATACAAACAACATATTTAAACGCCACTCTTCAAGCAGGTGGATATATAATTCCCCAAGTAAACTTACCCAACTTGACCTCTCCTTGTTCAGTCAACAAGATATTTCCACCCTTAATATCTCTATGGACTTTGAATATTGAGTGCAAGTATGCAAGGCCCTACATATAATACATAGATACAAACAGAAGTATTAGGCCTGTGACAAATTGAAACAGATGTGCCCAAGCGAAGATGCCAGCATCAAGTACAGGAAAGCAGCTTTCTTCTTCATGCTTCTAGCCATTC